CAACACATTTAAACATATGTATAGGAAAATTTTTCTCTTTGCTGATGAAATGATATATTATGTTTAAGGGATCTATTAAAAAATATATACAGTAAGCGGCATGTTCAGATGCCTATAAATTAACTTTCCCAAAGAACACGACTTAAAGGCGGGGAGTCAAGACTTCTCTCAAGTAACTGATGTCAGGGGGAAAAATAAACTTTTTCACTTCATTCACCCCGTCGACCTCTTTATTTCCCATTTGTTCACCTTAATTTTTCCTTTATATAAAGGAAAAATCAAGTGAACAACCAATATTGGTTGTTTGGTATAATTAATTAGGGATTTCCTTATGGAAAGTTGGTGAAAATAGATGACATTCCCTTAAACACCCAATTAAGTTTACCTGCGACAAAAACATAAGGGTTAACACCCAGGAACTAGAGACACGACACAGCAGAGCGGACTGTAGCCACAAATTCTGCTTCCCAAGAGTTGTGAAACGATGGAATTCGCTGTCGGCTGAGCTAGTCCAAGCGACTTTTCAGGAGTCCTTTAAGAGGCAACATGACCTATTCTCAAGGACTAAGGATAATATCTTACTATGATTTACCAATTACTTTTTCCTCTATTATCGTTAATATACCTAGGTTCGTGCCTGGAGGTGTTGGTGATCCACTGCTACTAAACACGAAAGCTTTTTCTATTCCATCTACAACCATGTGAACCATTTGTAAGCCATTTGTGGTTGCCATTACAATGTCGGAATAATTTTGCTAAACATCACAGGAAATTTCCTATGTCAACACATTTAAACATATGTATAGGAAAATTTTTCTCTTTGCTGATGAAATGATATATTATGTTTAAGGGATCTATTAAAAAATATATACAGTAAGCGGCATGTTCAGATGCCTATAAATTAACTTTCCCAAAGAACACGACTTAAAGGCGGGGAGTCAAGACTTCTCTCAAGTAACTGATGTCAGGGGGAAAAATAAACTTTTTCACTTCATTCACCCCGTCGACCTCTTTATTTCCCATTTGTTCACCTTAATTTTTCCTTTATATAAAGGAAAAATCAAGTGAACAACCAATATTGGTTGTTTGGTATAATTAATTAGGGATTTCCTTATGGAAAGTTGGTGAAAATAGATGACAACGTATCAAATAGTCGCAATATTCCCCAGTTCGGTATAAATTGTGCGAATTTTTCCCATCTTAGGGGAATGTCTTAAAATTAACAGTCGTTTCTCAAGAAGTATTGAAGAGGACTTTCCGACATGTCAGTTTATTCAAATCTTAGCCCCAAAGTGTAATTGTTTATAACGACCATAAAAAAGTCTCCACTCGACGTAAGCAGAGTGCATAGACTTTTCATATTCACGAACAATGCTGTTTTTAGACAGACGTTTTCTATGTTTTCTCTAAACTGTATGCAGTGGTATTTTCGTGAATATATGACGAATAAATCAATGAAATTAGTTTGCCGATCACTGATAATGAAGTGAATCACTCGACTGATAATAATAAATAGGTTCACTTGCTAGTAGTATGACGTATGTCCTAGCAGTGATAAAAAATAATATTCGAATATTCTCTAAATTAACATTTAAGGACCTAAAGCTTGTGGCTTATCTAAGGGTACGCTATTGTTGAACTAAGAAGTTATAAGCATTGACAAGCCATATGAAACCTCTTTTAGACAGTGTTTACCACTCTACAATTAATTGGCAAACTATGCTCACAAGCTTCATGAAAAAACCGAGAGAACGGTAAATGGATTGAATCTCAATTTCTTTAAATATCTAAAACGTGCAGCCCAAAGGGAGTCAATAAAATCAAAGAATGCCAGTTACGAGTTAATACTATGCTGGAGTTTCAGGGAATGAAGCAGGGTAAATGCATACGAAAGACTAATCGATTTTCGGACATACAACTTCAAATCCTCAACTCAATATTACTACTTCAGTGAGATCGAATAAAAAAGAGAAATATGGGCAGTCCTGATTAACTTCATTTGTGATAGTCAATTCGATTATCAGTTAAATGTAAACTCGGACTGCATTACCAGTCACTCATAAGTTAACGCTGGTCCACTTTCATCATATAGTAGGCTTATACCACATTGATATAGACCTTCCTACCAAGTTTACCTAGTACAGGTGCTTGTTTAACGCGCTACTTTAAAGCGTTATGCGTAGATACATATATTTACGAGTTTCAACAGTGTATTTATTAATGTCGATATCTTTGAACATTGTATACTCAAATCTGGTGTTCAATCCTATTACTATCACCCTAGATTTCCGATTTTCTGTTTAGTCTAATGTAACTGACTCAAAACGTTTTAGGCTTGAGCTCCCATATTTTCTACCAGAAGTAAAAGAAATGTGGACGTGCAAAAAATCTTATCAGTATGGGGTTGTGGAGATTATTAAGTTTTGATTGAGATCATGAACCAATTGATGCTAGATCACCATTGAAAGCCTGGAAGCGCTGGACGGCCGATTCATCCTATTGTCGGACTCTTCAACAGTGCGCATCCACAGTCCCGCTCGCGGGACTCGAGCCCAGGGCCTTCGGTTTCGCACGCGAACGCTTAATCTGTAGACCACTGAGCCAACATCCAACGGTGTTAATGTCTAACCTCAACCAGTCCACGAAGTGGCGCTACCATCTTCCATTATACTGAGGTAGATACCTGTCTCTACTTGACACGGACTAGCTCCACTGGTCGCAGCTAGTCACTAGTGAGCACATGGGAATCTCATTAAAAAATTCTTATATTAAGAATCGTACTTTGTGGGATACTTCTCTGTTCATAAGTAGATTTCCGTTTGGAAATTCTACGTTGTGAGTGTTCTTTTGTTTACCAAATTACTGTCCTTCATTATTTATGTGAGGTAATTTTTTTTAACTGATAACTGGCGAAACACACCAACAGCTAAAATACAAATTAATCGGCTTTTCAAATAAATAAACGGCAGTCTTACAGAATGAATGAGTAATGATGTTACGTCGGTACAAATTTGCGTAATGTACAATTGCTACAGATCTGTATTTTGCTTCACTTAGTATTGTCAGTGTTATCGTTACAATAGTAAAATACTAGTATTGTAAGTAGACTGAGAAACTGTATAAAAGTTGTGATAATAAAACTAAATTTAGCAATGGATAGCTTATATGAAAGGAGTAAAATGAACTTACTGTTGATGGTCATTATGAGTAATTTGTAATGAGATTCTCATTTAACTTTCAGTATTGTTCAACAGAATTTTGTCTTTGAAGTTAGAATCCTTAGGGCCGTTAATTGATTACGAATTTTGCTACTTGTTTATCATCAATTTAGCTTTGAACATTTATTTCCTAGAACTACATATACTTTCTAAGGATATTTAGTCGCAACTGCTGTTATTTAGCATTTGCTCATAGTCTATATCACATTTTAAAAAATTTCTCATATAATCTTATCAACACCAATCTGAACAACATATTTTGTGATTCGTAATTATCGCCGCCGGAAATTAGAAATCCTTAAAGCATTAAATTGTTTGACGACTTGACTAAGGGCTCACTAACTATATCCCATTTTTTTCAGTGAATTTACTTATAGCTATTGATAGTGAACTAGAATTCATTAAGTTTATACTTGGAATCTAGTAGGAGTGATGCTCTTTCTTGAAATCGAACCTGGTTTACTCACCGAACTAACCAGTCACACTTAATTAATTTATTTATTTGAGCACATAAATATTGGTACAAAGGGGCACCGAATACAAATGTGCCACACAAGTCATTTGATTTGTGTGAGCTGTGATACTGCTCAGGTGCCCAGACCGAAGCAGGTGGTTTTCTTAGTGGGTCACGCCCGGAGCCTTCGACCTAAAGGTTTGATCCACAAGGCAGCGGAACGGTGAAGGAGATGCAGTCCCATGGTGGCCGGTGACCAATAATTGATTCACAAACCATTTCACTCAGGGTCCTGGAGTCCATGTGCACCATTGGTTTGGAACCAGGGTTTTCCAACTCCCCTAGGTGGATCCTCCATATCCACTGGACATTCGTTTTCGTCCTCCCAATTTCGTAAACAATACACCTGCCGCAAGAAGGCAGCGAGTAGTGCTTCCCTAATAGTGGCTGAATACGCATGGCTATGTGGGAGTATTTCGAGAGGGAGAGCTAACTCTCTCCACCCTCGGCCGTGCCGTTGTACTAATGTCTGATTGTCACACCCAGTGGATCATACATAAGCTCATTAGTGGATCACATGTCTAACTTCAGTATTGAGTAACTTATCTAAATTTTGTAGAGTCACTGATTCTTAAAGGCTATAGATCCATATCGCCCCCAAATGACCGTGTACGGCCGAGAGTGGAGAGATTTCGCACTCCCCCTCGAAATGCTCTCACATGGCCACGCGTACATAGCATCTGTCAGGGAATTCCTACTCACTGCCTTCTCGCGGCGAGGGTGTTGTTTACGAAAATGAGAGGACGAAAAGCGAATGTCCGGCGCTTGAGCCGGGCCGGTGGACACGGCGAGTCCACCTAGGGGATTTGGAAAACCCTGATTCCAAACCAATGGTGCATATGGGCTCCAGTATCCTGAAGGAACAAATGGCGTATGAATCAATCGTTGGTCACCGGCTACCATGGGACTGCATCTCCTTACGTTGCTCCACTGCCTTGTGGATCAGACTTTCAGGTCGAAGGCTCCGGGGGTGGCTCCCTAAGAAAACCACCTGCTTCGGTTTGGGCACCCGGGCAGTATCACAGCCCTCACACATATCAAATAAAATTTGTGTGGCGCATATGTATTTGATGCCTCCTTGTACCAATATCTATGTTAAAATAAATAACAAATAAATTAGATCCATATCAGTAATAAGTATCACCAGCCACACAACTTACAACTTTCTACCGACCGCATTTGACAGACAGATACAGGTAACTTTCTTCATGTAAATTATGATTTTCTTCAGGTCTTTGTTTGTAATAAGTATCATTTTTACATTTCAGTCGAGCTAGTATTCAATTTGTGCGTACTATGATTGTCAAACCTGGTTATCTATGATCACAGGACATCACCGAACAAATAGTTTCCTTTTCTTGTATAAATTTCGCCGTTTGGTTTCATCTCAAACACATTATGATACGTTAGGAATTAAAAAATCCGCCTCGTATAGTGAGATTCGTTCAGCTTTTATCGAACTATCAAAAAAAGTAAGCTGATAATTACTTTTCTAATCTGTTATCTATACAGTATCATCCTGACAAAAATGACGGTGATATTGAGACGTTTAAAAGGATCAACGAAGCGTACTCTGTTCTCTCTCAAGAGAGAAGTAGACGAATTTACGATTCCTCTTTAGCATCAAGAGCTAAACCATTATTTACTAACTCGCCAAATGAGTATGATGTTTCAGATTGGGAACGTAATTATAATTACCACTTGTAAGTTTATACTAATAGCCTACACTTTGTTTAGTATGTAGGACAATTTTCGGCTGCCAGGATTTCAGCCACCTGGTTACTAGTTTGAACCTTTTTAAGTCTACTTATGTTTGAGTGTTCAGTTATTTTCTCTAGTCCTCACGCAAAGATCGCGTGGATGAAAACCTTTTATTTTCTTTAAAGAGGACATTTTAATAATAAGAAATAATATTCTTTTTTAGAAGAAAGTATTCTTAGTTTTAAATGGCCGACTCAGTAATACCATTTAATCTGTAAATATTATCTTAAGTCTTTTCCGTAGGTATCAATTGCCCTTCATTCAAGATGTTATTTCGTGATCCAGTTTGTATTTTCCCATCAATGTTAGGCGTATGACCAAGTTTTGTAACTGGTCAGTTTAATCGCGTATTCAGATTCAAATATCTGACAAATGGAACTGTCGGAGGTGGAAATTGTAGGCGTCACTGATTGATATTCATATACTTTCATGTTGTGTTATCAACGTTATGGTCTTTTTTCCGAACCACGTACATTTATTAATAGGTAACAACTTTGAACATATGAAAGGTTTGAGTAAAAAAAATTAATATAATTATTATCAGTAAGGGGAGTTGTGGAGCTTGTAGAGTTTTTAACAGTTGAATATATGTGTCGATCTAAGCTAGACTACCATTGAAAACCTGGAAGCACTGGACGGTCGTTTCAACCTAGTATGGGGCTCCATGGCGGTGCTCATTCATGATATCACACGTGGGGCTCGAACCCAGGACCTTCGGCCTCCTGCTCAGTCTTAACCCCTAAACCACTGAACCGGCATCCAATCCGTGCCGGGTGTGAGACAGTTGTCCGCCCCAGACAATGGATGAAGGTTTGCGCAAGATCATGGATAGAATGAAGTTATACATTGACGTCATTGAATGCCGGCTCAGTAATCCAAAGGTTAAGCGATTGCGCGAGAAACAGAAGGTCTTGGGCTCGACTCACGCGTGTGGGAGTGTGGATATGCACCACTGAGGAGTCCCATACTATATTGAAACGGCCATCTAGTGTTTCCAGGTTTCCAATAGTGGTCTAGCTTGGATCGACTCGTGAATATTTGGGATGCACTTCTTCCATCTAAATGCAAGTTGTTGCTTCAGGATTGGTTGCAATCACTTATCGTCCCAATATATAAGAGAGGGTAAAAATCGTCCTGTGATAGCCAAAGAGGGATTAGTTTAACTAATATAGTATCGGAAATACTAGCCTCGATAATTATCGAACGCGTAACTAAGACTCATGAACTGCAAACACGAGAGAATCAAGCCGGCTTCAGACCTGGTCGTGGCTGCACCCCACACATATTTACCATTCGTCAGATTTTAGAACACAGACATACTTATCGTCGTCCGACAATGGTGGTCTTTCTTGACTTAAAAGCAGCACTTAACTGTAGATCGAGAGGTATTGTGGCAGTGTCTGTCATTGTAAGGTGTACCGCGGAACAACGTAGACCTTATGAGGGCTCTTTACTCGAATACTACTAGTCGAGTCAGCTTATGGCGAACTATCATCTGATTTTGTAACCTTAATTGGTGTCTAACAAGGCTGTCTATTATCTCCATTTTTGTTCAATTTAATAATAGACCTATTGCTGGAAGTAACGTTCTCGTCGACTGGGTTTTCAGGAATTGATCTTCCAGGAAGTCCACTTATCGACTTCGAATACGCAAATGACAGTCCTGCTTGGTGAAAACGCTGATAAAATACAGAGTCTTTTGATAGCAACAAGCAACGGTACCAGGATGTTTGACATGCGTTTCTCCCACTCTAAATGCAAGTCGTTGCTTCAGGACTGGTCTGCGTCAACACCTGAACTAAGGATAGAGAGTGAAGTAGTCGAACGCGTTGACAACTTCACCTACCTTGGAAGTCTGATCAGCCCTAATGGGTTGGCTTTTGCCAACTTACGTCACCTATGGCGAAGGCAAGATATCCGTCTATCAATAAAAGGACTAGTATACTGCGCAGCAGTCCGTTCTGTCCTAATTTACGGCAGCGAAACATGGCCATTAAGAGTAGAAGATACTCGTAAGTTGCTAGTATTTGATTACAGATGTCTTAGAAATATTGCCAGCATCTGCTGGGATCACCGGGTAAGTAATAGTGAGGTTAAGCACTGGGTATTAGGGGATGATGGTAAATCGGTTGATGAGATTGTGAATATTCATCTACTGAGACGCGTGCGCCACGTGCTACGTATGCCTGAACACCGATCACCACGACGTGCAATGCTAACCGGTGTTCGGGATGGTTGGAAAAAAGTTAGGGGCGGTCAAACCATGTTGGTAGATGCAGACTACTTGATGTGGGTCCGCGCGACTTTTGTAAGCAGTAGTTGGAGACTGTGTAACATGACCCAGAGTCGATCACAATCGCATCGATGTGTACACACTTTGTCTTCCCCTAAACGGTGAGATTAAAATTGCTTTATACCTTTCTCTCTTCCTGTATTATATCCTTATACATAATCTTTCTTTTATATATTACCACCACTGAATTAACTACTTCTATGAATCCGGTGTTCATCTTGTGCTAAAGAGGTATGGCAACTTGGATCGATGAATATATGTGCCTGGTCCTACGTTAAAGCTGACTGACCGACTCGTAAATTCAACTGTTATAAATATTGTTTTTATTGTTTACGTGGATAATGTTGATGTCATCTTAGTAATTATTCATCAGAATAAAGATCTAGTATAACTCAAATGTAAATGAACTCTATTCCATTATCTGCAGCTTTCATGTTTAGTTATTATGATAGTTCCCATCGTCTTAAACTGAATCCTGTCTAAGGTCTAAGTTTATCCCAATGATTTTATAAGTAATGTGTTAGCAACAGCTAATGTTAGTATTTTCTGTAAGCGTATCCCATAGCATATTAAGTTCAAGCAGCAAGTAATGAATAAGTTCAGTGTATTTGTAGTTTCCTTTTGAACTCAGAGTTATGTATATTTAATCATCAGTTACATATAGACATCTCACAGTAATAAATATTTAAGTGACATCCTATAATTTATTCTCTATCCATCCTTCTCTAATTTTTAATTTATAGACGTTCTCTGCGTTTTGGGGAAAATAAACGCCACACTAAAGGGAACCCTAATATATCACGATCGATTTTCATTTCAACCATACTATTAGCAGCATTCATCTACTTTATTTCCATATATAAATTTATTAAAAAGTAAGCTACTACCTTTTTAATTGTAATGATCGTTTTTAAGTTGCTTATATATACTGGTGTTGGTAAGTAGAAGAAACTTGGTTTTGCAACTTTAATATCTGTACGTGTCTTAGCCACGATAATGAGTTACAGCTTTTCAAAGTTCTTATCATGTTTATCTTTTATGGTTAAGAAAGCAATACACTTTTTTGTTTAATATAGTGAGAACCTCCTCATTTGAGTAGGATATTTGGTTAGTACACAAAGTGGTTGACTAACCCCATTGTTTCTGTATGAGTTAGGTTAAAAACTAGTTGTGAGGAGAAAACATTTAAGTTAATACACATCAGCTGTGGCTATCGACTCACAGTTTCGATATTATTTTAAGTATTTTTATTAAAGAAACTAAAAGTACGTAAATATAATCTACCTGTGGACCCCTATACAAGGTAACTCTCAAGCCTTCATGTTAGGAATACGCTAGTCAGGCACTTTAGGAAGTGGAAATGTATCCTATGTCCGTATATCTGGGAATTTGCGGTAATACAGTTCGTTTTTCTTTTCTGTAGCATCTGTCGTCGTGAAATTCATCACAATAAATAATCACCACTGTCAGAAGAATAGTCAGTCAACTGTAATTTCCTTGTGATTTTCGAATTTTCGACAGTAATTTCATTTCACGATACAGCCTGTAAACTTTAGAAGTTGTTATAACTAATCTGAATAATGCTAACTGAACTGTAAAAAATATTTGTGAAACTTGAGGTAGTCCCGAACGTTATTAAGACTCTGGTCGTTAAATGATGTATATACTGTTTCTTGTCTATACAATATTTGAATTTTTCTCCAGGATAAATTATATATTTTAGTGGTTACCGTCCAACCCAGACGGCGTAAAATCAGGCGAAAACGTGTCTTGATTCAAATTGCTACACTTCGTATCAGCACAACAAGAGAGGAAAAAAATAAAACTAAACGAATGCAAAGGATAGTAGTTATTAGCTAGTTCTTGAATATATCATTTGAAAGAAGAGAACGAAACCGTAAATCTTGAATTATAGGTTAACAGATCTACAGCAATACGACATATTTTGATCTGTCATCTGATCTCTATAATTGTAAACTATGTTTATCTTATGAGCACCCCTGAAATTCCAAATATCTTTACACGGCTTGACAAATAATTGGTGATGCCATGGCCTGATGCACTTTTATCTGACCATCTTTATCCCTGTTTTAGCCTACTATCTATGCTGGCTAGCGTAGTTGCTCAGGGTGATCGCTTTATGGGCTTAGGCTATATATATTTGTTTCAGCTGTTATTGAAATACACATCCTAGCTACCGTTGTACATAATTATCGACCTCATGTTAGAAAATAATCGAGAATGAATTTTGATTACGTATATTTCGTACAATTGCTGATCCAGACAGGCGATCAGAAAAGCGAAAAGGAGAGAGCGGATAATGTCGTTGGAAAACTGAAAAGAGAAGCGACGTGAAGGCGAGGAAGCCAACTCGTCTTGATAATGCGTGACTCAATATTTATAGTCAGAAAACAATAAGCTACATGCATGTGATGGGTAGGCTAAGCAGTGCACACATATACGCTCATGAAAACATTCAAGATTAATAAGTAAATAATTGACATGGTCAAAATATGGCTCATGAAGAATGAATAAATTGATCTGTCCAGAAGCAAGAATAATCCACATGTGCTTGCTATCAGTCAGTCAGTCAGCTACAACGTAGGACCAGGCACATATATGCATCGGTCCAAGTTGCCATACCTCATTAACACAACAAGATGGACACCGCATTGATAAAAGTAGTTAATTCAGAGGTGGTAATATATAAAAGAAAGATTATGTATAAGGATATAATACAGGAAGAGAGAAAGGTATAAAGCAATTTTAATCTCACCGTTTAGGGGAAGACAAAGTGTGTACACATCGATGCGATTGTGATCGACTCTGGGTCATGTTACACAGTCTCCAACTACTGCTTACAAAAGTCGCGCGGACCCACATCAAGTAGTCTGCATCTACCAACATGGTTTGACCGCCCCTAACTTTTTTCCAACCATCCCGAACACCGGTTAGCATTGCACGTCGTGGTGATCGGTGTTCAGGCATACGTAGCACGTGGCGCACGCGTCTCAGTAGATGAATATTCACAATCTCATCAACCGATTTACCATCATCCCCTAATACCCAGTGCTTAACCTCACTATTACTTACCCGGTGATCCCAGCAGATGCTGGCAATATTTCTAAGACATCTGTAATCAAATACTAGCAACTTACGAGTATCTTCTACTCTTAATGGCCATGTTTCGCTGCCGTAAATTAGGACAGAACGGACTGCTGCGCAGTATACTAGTCCTTTTATTGATAGACGGATATCTTGCCTTCGCCATAGGTGACGTAAGTTGGCAAAAGCCAACCCATTAGGGCTGATCAGACTTCCAAGGTAGGTGAAGTTGTCAACGCGTTCGACTACTTCACTCTCTATCCTTAGTTCAGGTGTTGACGCAGACCAGTCCTGAAGCAACGACTTGCATTTAGAGTGGGAGAAACGCATGTCAAACATCCTGGTACCGTTGCTTGTTGCTATCAAAAGACTCTGTATTTTATCAGCGTTTTCACCAAGCAGGACTGTCATTTGCGTATTCGAAGTCGATAAGTGGACTTCCTGGAAGATCAATTCCTGAAAACCCAGTCGACGAGAACGTTACTTCCAGCAATAGGTCTATTATTAAATTGAACAAAAATGGAGATAATAGACAGCCTTGTTAGACACCAATTAAGGTTACAAAATCAGATGATAGTTCGCCATAAGCTGACTCGACTAGTAGTATTCGAGTAAAGAGCCCTCATAAGGTCTACGTTGTTCCGCGGTACACCTTACAATGACAGACACTGCCACAATACCTCTCGATCTACAGTTAAGTGCTGCTTTTAAGTCAAGAAAGACCACCATTGTCGGACGACGATAAGTATGTCTGTGTTCTAAAATCTGACGAATGGTAAATATGTGTGGGGTGCAGCCACGACCAGGTCTGAAGCCGGCTTGATTCTCTCGTGTTTGCAGTTCATGAGTCTTAGTTACGCGTTCGATAATTATCGAGGCTAGCATTTTAGATACTATATTAGTTAAACTAATCCCTCTTTGGCTATCACAGGACGATTTTTACGCTCTCTTATATATTGGGACGATAAGTGATTGTGACCAGTCAGATGGAATAACGTCTAACTCCTAGATCTTAGCTAAAATATTAGTCAACCTAACCGCTAAAATCGGACCACCATTCTTAAAGACCTCTTTAGCCAATCCATCTGGACCAGCTGCCCTTCCTCGTTTCAGGTTAACTATAACCAGTTGGGGGACCTACTTCAATGTTCCATTCACACTGTCTGTGAATGGAGGGTAGTTGTAGAGTAGCTGAAGGCCAGCTGATCTGTTATCTGAAATGTTCCGCCCATCATTCTAAACGTCTGGACTGAGAGCAGATGAGGGTGTCGTCTTTTTGCGAAATAGTATGACTTACACTTGACTTATTAATTCAAGTTTCTACGAGTACTATGTCTGAACGTTTAGCTTTCTGTAAAATTCATCTTTCACTTCATCTGAGCTGCAGTCAGTGGGAGCGTAGGCAGAAACGACAAAAAGGCAACGACGTGTGTCCCTATCCTTCCGAGTTCTTACGGAGCCGTTTAGCCGAACAGCACATAGACGACTGTTAACGGGGATCCACTCTAACAGTGTTTATCCCGTACTCATACTTAGTGCTATCCCTACTCGTGCCAGTCCACGAGAGCTGTCCGTCGGGTCACCAGATACACGGAGGGTGTATCTCGTTGTCTCTCCTTTTGCCGAGGTGAGATCAAGTGAATGACCACACTGGGATCCTGTATGCGTGTTTCAGAGACACAGCGTACATCAATGGTACGAGATTCTAGGGTTCTAGCCAAGGAAGACTGTTGACCGATTTGACATACGGTGCGTACGTTGAAGGCTCCAATGTGTAGTTTGGAGCGAGGTTTCAGTAGACCTGAGACAGTGTTTTGCGCACTAGAATCGTTGGAAATGGTGACACTTGCGAGGGAAGCCGAAAAAGGAAGTTTAGAGGTGATAGTCGATGTAGGAGGAATAATAGGAATTGAAGAGGTAGGTTGATTGTGAATACAGTGGGCTTGACAGCTGTTAGAGGTATGAGGGTGGTTATCACTTCCCGGTTACCCAAACCATGGAAGGGTTCTTCTGGAGGTACCTGAAAAGGAAATTGGATTCGACGTGGTCTTAGTGACCTTGGAGCGTGACCGCAGTGCCCAAGGGACAACTGCTTGAGGTCGGTCACACAACCTTTTTATGGGTAATTTTTGTGTTAGCTCCGTACTTGTTGAGACCTTACCTCCGGAGACGGATATCCGTGGGATAAGGCGAGGTGTGCATTTTTAGGGTCGACCTTTTCTAACCCCACCCCTCCTTTTGGGAAGGCAGCATCGCTGTCATGCTGGTTGTCCGAAGGAAACACCTTACTGCTGTCACACCTCTGTACAGTCAGCAGTACGACTTCGCCTTCGGACCTTGGGTTTGTTGCTTTCAGTCTTATCGCTCTTCAACCGATCTGTCTGACATGGTAGGACCTTGAGGAACGGTTGTTCCAGCCGGTATAGCTCGGTTGCTTCATCACGATAGGCAAGCCCGACCACCACGTCAAGGTAACTATGGTACCAGACTTATATATCCCGATGAGAATAATGAATGGTCATTGTTGGGACCTATTTATGGACTAATATTATACATGTATTTTCGTTGTATTGTTAAGCAACTAAACTATACATATTCATGTTCCTTTTACTATAAGCTTTATTTTGACCTATAGACTATCATTATACGTTTTATCGCTCTTGAGTTATGCCTAGTCTCAGTCAGTCAGTCAGTAACAACGTAGAACTTCGTACGTACGTACATCAGTTCGAGTTGCCACACCACATTAGCACAGAGATGCACTTGTCGATTCAAATCCCGTAGTGGTAGAGGTAATAAGAGTATAAGCAGTAATCGGGAAGATCAGGGTTTGGAGATGTTATTTAAAGAGTATAATCCAGTGAAATAAATTTGGAAAGAGGAAAAAGAGACATGAAGAATTCAGAAGATTAGAATTTGGGAGAACACAGAGAGTGGATGCACCTGCGCCATTGCAAACGATTTTGAGCCATGTCATTCAACGTCTCTAACCATCGGTTGCTATCATCTCGTGGTCCCCAACCAGGTAGTCTACACCTACCAACATGACGCAGTCCACTTGTCAGTGACTTCATGGACTTGTGCCATGTTTTGGTTTGGCCGCCCCTAGCTTTCTTCCAACCTACTCCTAGACCACTGGACATAGCACGTCGAGGCAGTCGGTCGTTGGGCATACGTAACACGTGTCCCAGCCATCTCAACTGATGAATTTCACTACGCCATCAATTGATTTGCCATCCTTACCTAGTACCCGTTTCCTAACAACTGCATTACTTACTCGGTGGTCCCATGATATACGAGCAATGTTTCGAAGACACCTATGATCAAATACTAGTAACCTACGGATATCCTCTACTCTTACCGGCCATGTTTCACTGCCATAAAGTAGGACGGAACGAACTGCTGCGCAGTAAACACGTCCTTTGGTTGATAGATGGATATCTCGCCTACGCCATAAATGACGCAAGTTGGCAAAAGCTAGTCGAGCCTTCTGTATCCGTGCTGAGATTTCGTCACACACTAAACCACAAGGACTGATGAGACTTCCAAGATAAGTGAAGCGGTCGACACACTCAACTACTTCACTACCTATCACTAGTTCGGGTGCCGATGTAACCCAATCCTGAAGCAACATTTTGCATTTCGAGGGAGA